AAGGCTGAAAGACAGCCAGTGCTTCAAACTGTTGATTACAAGCCTTAAGGGAACAGAGGAGGTGAATAGAATTTAACAGAAGAGTGTTCCTGTACTGTGTTCATTATGCATGAAATGCTATTTAGATGTCAATTGAAGTATCCAAATTTGCATAGACAACATAGAAAATATTGCAAACAGTTCACATCAAGAGGAAACCTTGTGAGCCAAACACTTTGGCAGGCAGGGGTCATTTGTTTTGTTTTTTTTTACTGTGAATGTTACAAGAATGTACATATCTGTATATTTATAAATATATATATTCTTCCTTTAATTAAAGAAGTACATTTTGTACAGCACAAAATGTTTACTTGTTTACTGAGGAATATAAACTCTTTTTGCAGAAGGTGAAATAGCCATGTTATGGTTTTTATACTACACCTGTCCCATCAGTTGAATTCTTTCAAGGTGTCCTTTTGTATCTACTACTTTTTTTTTAATTTTTTTCTTTTAGTTTTGTGGCATTTGGAAATATGGTGTACTCACCATATTTCCTATCACATTTAAGTTATAATAAAGATTATTTTTAATTACTAAGCACATCAGTCCATATGTACAGTCACCCTTTCCATCAGCAGCCTCTTCACTGTCAGGCTCATAGTTTAAGTTCAGTTTTGTGCATCATTCAAGATACTTACCAAGAAAGGCTCCTCAGGGACTACCAGAAAATGTGCTGGAGAGGCTCCAGGATTGTTACCCAACTTGCACTGATTACTCCTCCCTTCTAGGAAGACAGACTCTCCTCAGACAGGAGACATTCCTTCCATTCATCTTCCCTTTTCAAACATTCAGGCTGACACACCTTGGGGAATGTAGAGCTGCCTATGGAGCAGCCAAAGCCAGAAAGAGCAGGGAGCAGCTCACATTCAGAGGTCCTGCACCAAATGGAGGGTGTATCTCATCTCACTGTAGTTTAAAGCCACCCTTGGAGAAGTTCACTAGCCTAAAGCTGATCTGCTACACCATTGCAGACAGGATTCATGACAGCTGTGACAAAGCTTCCAAAACCTGAAGGCAAAGAAAAATGACCAAACCATTTCTTTGTCTCCAAGCTTGTACATTTCTTTGCTTGCAGAGCTGACAATGCTGCCTTTTCCTGGCACATTAACACACTCCTTAGCAGAGTAGGAAAAACCAGATGCACAGAGGTGAGCATCACAAGGCTCATGCTTACCAATAGTAAAGAAGGAAGCAGCAGGCAGTAATTACAAAAGCTCTTAGGGCTGCAGCCGGCTTAGTTGGACAAATTCAAAGGTCAGGGCTACCCCAGGAAAGTGTGTTAGGAAAAAGTTCCCATGCAAAGTAGCTCAGCAGCAGTGCAGATGGAAGAGACAGGCAGCCTGCTAGAAGAGCACGTGGGAAAGGGGTTTGTTTATCTGGTGGTAAAGGTATCCTTACCTTATGCTGTGGTGGTTTTTACTACCCCTGCCATGCTGTCACTGTCTCAGCACGTGGCCCCATAAATAGAAACCTGTAGCACCCCTGTACTACTGTAGCCACAGCAGCAACATGTTAGGCTGCCCAGTTTCACACTGTTACCAGCAAGGCTGTTGTGTCCATCAGACCTTCAGAAAAGTTATCCTCTATAGCTTCATCCTGTCCTGCAGTCTGTAATATATACTTCATAAATTATACTTTATTTATAATGCTTATCATTAATGTCAACTTCAAAATTAGGTGTCAACAACTGCCAGACACTGTATCTTAAGTATGGCTCCTGCTTTGCAGGGAGATTGTCCTGAAGAGAGGATCCACAGCAGCCAGGTTCAAATGGCAGCAGTGTCCCTGAGGGTAGGATAGATGTGTCCTCACAACTGATCACATTTCATTACAGGCATCTGCCAGCAGTTCAACAACCAGCAGCACATTACAGTTCCTCATAACACCATTATCAGCTGCTAAACTGTTTTGTCTTATTACAAGAATGGAAAAATAAATGAATAGCACAATAAACAATAAATGCTGAAAAAAAAAACATTGATGACAATGCAACTCAGTCTTAAGAAGTTGGAGTGCTGGAAAAGCAGAGCCTTGGCAAAGTTTGCACGTCATCTTATTAAATTCTTAAATCCAGTTCTGAAAACAACCTGAGATGGCCTTTGAGGAAAAGTAAATGAACATGCATCACATGTTCTTAACCAAAAATAGCCTATGACTAACATCATGACTTATGCAGAGGCCACACCATAAGCTGCAGCACAGGACAATGCTGCAGCCCTCACGCAAGCAACCCCATGCCAAACACCAAGGGAGTTTCAGCTGCCCAAACAAGGAGCTATTATGGTCTAATTAATTTCTCTGCACATAGTCTTAAGTACAATGGGTGCTTAGCAAAAATAACAACTTTTAGTGTAAACTAATTATGAGTTCTTCCTCATACAAACAACCCACCTGCCCCATGGTTTGCTTGTCACTGCCATAGCTGCTCATTCTTGAAACCTGTGACACCTGCAAATGACTCACCTCCCCTTTGCTCTTGCATGGCTGAAATTCTGCCATAAAATGTGCATGTCTGAACAGGGCTGAAGTGCAAGCACACTGCAGATACATCCCACTTCCACAGAGCCTGAGCCTGCCTCAGTGAAAGACAAGATTGTGTCTACCCTCTGCAGTGAAAGAGTGGGGACTCCTTTTGCTGGTAGCACACATGCATTGGATTTCCTGGAAAGAATCACATTCTGTAGTTAGGTTCCAAAACTGATACTTTTATTGTGCTAGATAAAATGCTCTCTCTATAACTTAGCTGGATATACAGGCTGTCTTTAGTGATGCTGATTTTCAGCTGCTACAGAGCTGTGTTCCAGTGATAAGTTTCCCTATATACTTAAAATGTCAGATTTTAAGAGAACTAATCACAAACAAATCTCTGTATAATTTCTACACCTTTGACAAGCTGTGAGCACATAAATACCAAGTTCCTAGACTTAATATGTAGCACAGTGCTACTGCATGCATGTTCATAAAAGCACTCAATTTTCAGAACAAACAAACTCAGTCCTTTTAGAACTCTTTAAACAGCAGTTATTGCAGCATCCTAAAACTGCTGAGAACATTTCTGATAGAATAGGTACAGTCAGTGTTTGGTCAAGGTTCAGTGCATCTGTGACAAAGCATGTGTAGAGGTTTTATTACTGTGGCAGTTCAGCTCACACCTAACCTTCTGGGGCATCAGGGGTTTTTTTTCTAATTATACAGCAAGCTATCTGCTAACAAACTGCACTTAATAAAACCATAATAGTCATAGTTTAAAGCATTAGTATGTGTGACTGAGTGGCACATGCCTTTTTGATGTAAAAATTTACTCTGTTAGAGGTGGGCCAAATGCTGCAATACATACATCTACTACTTGCAGAACTTCTGTGGTTTATTTGTACACAGTCTACTTCAACAGAAGGATCCAGCATATCAACAGACTGTCACATCTTTTTATTTAAATAAAATCAATCCAGAAAAAGCATAAGACTTAAACCTAAAGCATTCTTCTTGATCAGTCTGAAAGTAAAAAACACAGACAGATACTGCACACAAATTCTGGATTTGTCTTTCTGGCAGTTCTGTTCCAACAACAGCACCTGTACTACAGCAGCTGACACAGCAGGAAGTCAAATAATGGAAAGTTGCACTTGCTGTCTCATTTTGGTCTGCTAGTCATGCCACAGTCCTTTCTTCCCTTCTACAGCCTCTGCAAATACAATATGCCTGATGTTTAAAAATAAAGCCACCTCTAAAAATTAGAGTTAACAATCAATAACTAAATTGAACTGCAAAAACCAATCACATCAAAATGAAATTTATGTTTCCTTATTTACTAATGTGGAATTCCTTTATTAGGAAAGTTGCTTAGAATGTGAGATAGGAGAGGTCTAAGTCACTTGACAAGCATTATCCACTTCTCCTTAACAGAAAGCCAAGGTTACTCTACAAGGCATTTGCCCAGCACCCAGTTTTGTTTCTTCTTCAAGACAGCATCAGTGCAAGACAAAGGACGCACCTTTCTCACCTCTTCATCCTGTGATGGAAGGGAATATGTCTAAGCAGCCCCTGGAGCACACGCTGGAAGATACAATCTTGGGCTTACAAAGCCCACAAGAAATTGTGATGCCTCATTTCCTAGTTAGCATGCGTGAGGTAAAATGGCAGCCAGGACTATCACCTCCTTCAGTGGCTTCTGACATTTCCTGGATGTCACAACAGAAATCACTTGTAAAACATCTGTTAACTGATCAACAGCCACAGAAGTAAAACAGAAGGAATATAAAGGTGCCAATCTGATAGCTCCAGAGTCATTCACACATACCCTGCAGCAGCCATCTTTGGCAAGGCCAGAGATCCACAACTCAGGATGCTTCTGTTCACTTCTGCCTCCTGAAAGCCACTCAGCTTTAAGCTCCTCCCAAGATATGGCACCAGCCCCCATCATTAAAGCCTTGTTACAGAACAACTGCCTGGAGACCCCTCAGTACTGCAAAATCTCTATCCAACTTTCCTACTCCATCACAGCCCAGGCAGATACCAGATAAGGTGCTCAAAGTTTTAAAGACCTTTCCTATTCCTGCAAACCTTTCAGAACCGAAGTACCTTGGTAAAAGGGTGTCTCATCTCTTGGTAAATACCAGAGCAGTACCTTGAAAACACCTAGTTTCTTTCAGAACAGCTCTGAAGTACAGGCTGCTTTGTCTCCACCTAGTTTTCAGTACAGCTGCTACTGGGACCAAGAACATATCACCTTCTCTTCATAAGCCAATTAAAGTATTACTAAAATAAATGGTCTAATATTTCCTACTTAAGCTCTCATTACACAGATTGCAAAATGTTTCCTTAGCAGGCAGGGGAAATTAATTTTAAAAAACCTCAAAATCATAAATCTAACTGACCTTTAGATTTTGACTCTCATTACCCAGGAAGATTTTCTGAAACCTCACCAACAGCACACAAATTTTTACTTCCCCCCCGCCCCCCTGCCCCCCCATCCACAAAAAAAAGCAATTTTGTTCTCCAGAATTCTGCAAATCTAAAAAGAACTAAAACCTGCCCAGGCATTCCCCCTAAAAACTTGAAAGCTTCCATCTACAGGAGTCATAATTGATTTGTACCAAGGATTAACCATTCCCCTGTCAATTAAGACACTATTTTGGTAAAGCAAAGATTTATTTATCAATTTTCATGCATCATGTCAGACCAACTGATAAGAAAGATATTTACACAACAGTTGAAATACACAGTATTTGCGTTTCCTACAGGCAACTACATGCAGCCTGTAGTAAATTTTCCATGCAGTATTCAGATACTCCTCCCACTGCTACATAATTCCAGTTAAAAATACCAACATCTGCAATGTTCCCACAAGAGTTTCTGTACCTGAGGTTTAGTATACCCTTTCAAAAGGAAGTCTGCAATTAAAAGCCACATACAAAAGCCTATTTAAAGGTTGTCATTCCAGTTGCAAATGGCTTGCTTCCTTTGCAGGAAGATCTGATCTATTCTCCCTTAAACCAGACAATACTTGTGATGGCTCTTCCTCAGAAGGGCGGTCTGCCTCATCTCCACAGCTGTGCTCTTCATTTTCCTGTCGGGATTCCTCTAGAGCCAGACTCTCCAGTGTCTCAAGATTGTCAGGTGCTTGCCCAGTTAGCCTCTACAAAGAAACAGAAGACAGCAAATTTAATATTTTTCTACTTAATAACTATGAAATAGTGAAATAAGATTCTGCATATGAAATTAAGCCAACTAATTACCTTCTTGGGAGGTTGTTGATATAATCAAAACATTCCTCAGTTACAAAAAAATCTTATGATACAAGTTCAACTCAAATTACTACCTCTTAACTTGCAAACCACATTTGCTTGTTCAGTTTTTCTTAGGTTCTTCAGTAGGACAAGTTTAATCTCATGCAATCCAAAACATGGGAAACTGGTTCCCAAGTTAAGTATTTACTATAGTACCCTATAGGTTTAATTTTAGAAAACTTACTGTACAACCAATTTACTCCATTTTTACTTCGAGATGATAAAGCTACATTAAGTCGAGATGAGCTTTAAGATCCAGAAGTGTCTAGCACTTGATCAACCTAGAAGTTCCTCACCTAACCCAACATAAGGAAGATAAACAGGACTGTGAACAGGACCGTTTTGAAGCTTCTGGTTGTTTGATGGATCCCTTAGGCTCATTTAAGCCTCAGAAGGGAGCAGCTTACAATTAATAAGTGATCCTAACTTTTGAGAAACAGTAGAGAAGTTCCCAACTATATTAGTCCAACTCCTCAAGTAATGTAATTTCTGCCAGTGGATTTATCACTAACAAGCAGTACTCCCCAAACCTCAAAAAAATTCAAGTGTAGCAAAGCAATCTTTCAAGGCTGAGCTAAATAACTGCACTAACTGAAAAGTAACTTGATGAAATTTAATTCTTGATTACACAAGTTACTTGCAATAATATTGCATTTTGTTTCCACCTCTCAGTCTAGCCATCACAGGCTCAAAGTATTTGCCAGGCACCCAGCTTCATATCCCAGCTTAATGAGAGCTTAATTCTTGCAAAAAACAACCTGAAAGCCACAACATCAAGGTTCCACACCTATCTATGTATTTATCACAGCTTCAGAGGCTCTTACAAACAATCCTCTCCCACTGAAGGAGCCATGGAATTAGTGACAACTACTCACCCCAAGGAACTCTCAGAGGGAGCTGTTAGGAAATTTGAGTTTATGAACCCTAGAGACTCTGTGTACAGCCCTTTTTGGGCAGTGAAACTGGCACTGTGCCTTGACAAGAAAACCTTGACCTCAAAGAGAATGCCTCTCACTGCTCTATTTTGTGACTCTGTTTTAAGTTCAGTTTCTCAAAGGACACAGCCAGTACCAACCTATTAAGCACATGAATTTAAGTTATCCCAAAAAAAGTGAAAAATCAACTCTTCCTTCCCTTATCACAATCTCCAACATGCAAATCCTAATTCTATTGAGATTAGGTTGAATTCCTCCTTCAGAAAATATCCATCTTCGTATTCTTACTACTCCTAGGTTGTAAGATGGGAAAAAAAAAAAAGGAGTTTTTTGACTCTAGAATTAGAGCTATCCTGCAGTAAACAGGTCAGAGAGCAATTTAAAATGAAAAGTCATGTGAGCACATAAAACAGAAGTCATGATTCATGATAAATACTTTGGCTGGTTTCTCACTGGTTTGTTCCACAACATTAACTGGAAATTACTTTGAGTACCTCAATCACACTGGTCATGTAATGCACATGCTCAGCAAGGGACATCAGCTCTTCATTTTCTTCTTTTAGGCAGGCAATTTCACCATCCTTCTGCTCGATTTCCTTGTGCAACTGAGTTCAAAGAACAAAATGTTAGAAGAGGAAGACAATAGCCAGGTAACCTTAGCAGTTAGACATCCTTGAGCAGCTACCTTTTCATTTTCTTGAAGCACTTCATACAGAGCCTTCCTCCTCTCTTCAGCCACTTCTTTCCAATAGCGAGATGAAGGATCTCCTGAATTTAAGAGGCTACATTAAGTCTGTGGTAAGACTGACTTCTTCAGAGCACCTTAAGATATCCAACTTGTATACAAGTGTTCTATGAGCAGTGATACTAAGCACTCACTCTGTATAGTGTTTTCAAAGAGTAGCTGTAGAACTACAACTAGTGACACAAGCTTACAGGGAACAGGTCCTACACTGCATTAATGGCTGCACAGTGCCTTCAGGAAGCTGCCTCAAGCATGGCAGCAGGCTCTGCAAGATGGCCACATCTGCAAATGCTGCTCTGAATGTGCACTTTGTGGGAGACAGAAGTGTTAGTTCCAAGTCACCATCCACACTGGTTCTGAGAAACTGCACAAACACGCTGTGGCAGAACAGGCTTTCATTTCAACTTAATTGTTAGTCACTGGAAAACTTATAGCCCAGCCAAAATAACAAGCTACAAGACTCCTTAACACTGCTGCACACAATGCTTCTCAGCTTCTGGTTATCATGAACTCCTTCTTAAATACTAGACATCTATACTTTATTTAATATTGAGGATAAGTATCATCAACTCTTGCTAGACATCACAAAAAACCCACAAAGCCCTTATCTAAATGACAAAGGAAATATGTTTCAAGTAGCACTCCAACAGCAGCATAGCATTTAAAGTGCAAGAAAACATTTCAGGAATTACCACATACCTTTCATCATGAGATCTTCAGCCTGAATGACATCATTCTCATTCTCTTGCTCCTTGTCCACAGACACCTCAGCTTTAGAAGCCTTTGAGGCAAATTTGTTATTCCAGAGCTTCCTTCTGACCGAAGATTTCTTCTGCATAAAACATGGGCAGGTTAAAGTTTAGAGGAACATCTCAGCCTACACAAAAATACAAACTTCTAAGCCTGCACACTCATGACTGCAAGTGTCTAAGTCTAATTTCTTCACATTATAGTTCTAGTTTAAACATCTTCCTTAATACCCAAAGATCTCAGAAATTGCTAGGTTTTAATAATGTTTATTACTAGAACAATAGTAAGCTTGTGTCACTCTAGCTAGCACATTATATTTTTTTCAAATATATTAGTTTTCAGTTAACAGCTCAAAAGCACTTCACTACGACCAGAAATAATTCCATATTTCCAAATTATCTTTTAGTTTATACCTCATTATGCCTGCCAACCAGGTTACCAGCTGCTGAAGGCTGGATCATTTTAAGAGTCGGTCTTCGGGCAGCACTGCATGTGCTGTCTGTGAGGTACTTCTGAAAAGACAGAAATGGGTCAGACAGCAGCCACTCTTCTTTACATCAACTGAAAATTAGGAATCCATCATGCTTCCATTAAGGTAACACAATTCATCTTTTCAAGACAAAAAAAAAAAAAAAGACACTGTAGCCTATATTAAGGCTTTTGCAAGGAAGGGGATCTAATTATTTCTACCAGAGATAGATGTTAATCACATGAAGCTATAACCAATCCCTGTCTCTTAGGAAACATTACCTTTCATAAAAGAACTTCAGCAGAAATCTGATTAGATTTCAAGGCCAGTGACTTTAGCTGGACCCCTCAAACTTTGAGTTTGAGAGCAGCAGTCTCAGACCCTTGGGGACAGGGACAAAAGTGATTGCAGTTGCAGTTAGGTGGTAAAGGCACATCAGGCAGTAGCTGTTTTTGTAACCTGTGAACACACCAGCAAACAGTGTTCATTTAAATAGATGTGTTGCTTTGATTATCCATTAAAATGGATCAAAAGTTTCCTTGCTCCCATCCAGAGAGGCTATTGTTTTGTCTAACCAGTATGTTTATCACCCTTGCTATCATGCATAAATGCCTCTCTCCTGCATCAAAGCTTTCTGACTGGGTTGGTTACACTGCCACCATGGGATAGCAAACAATGGCAGACAACCAAGCAGAGCAGCCAGGACACAATGCCACGCCAGCGTGAGAAAGTCACCGATTCACACCGTGCTTCACGGGACAAGAGCTCGCCTTTCCCACGGTAGCTCCTGCCGCCAATTATCCTACTGTTCCACCAAAGGACAAACATTAACTGCTGTGGGAACAGGAATCACACCGTGGGGCAGACACTGCTTGCTGTTACTTAGGATTAGAGTTAGCTATACTCTGCCAAGAAATTATTGGCCAATAGTCAAGCGAACCCACTGAAAGTGCAAAAAGCCACACCGAGCAATTCACACCCTAGAGACACTATGGGACAAGAGTGCCATAAATCAGACCTATCAATTAGCAATTCTCACTAATACCTGGAGCTTCCATTCCAGTCACTATGGGTCATCATACAAGAGCCACTAGCCTCTATTTTATACACTTTTGTACCAGTCTGATTAGGGCCTACATTAAAAGACTTACCAAGAAAAGTTACTAAAGTTTGTACCTAATCAGTTAACTCTTAAAAACCTAAATTGTTTAAGCATTTCCATCAATTCCAAGGCAACTATTATTCACAAAGGTGACTTTAGAAAGTGAATTGCCTGCTTGAATACCTCAGTTAAAACATGTCCAATACAAGGCAGACAGAACTCTTCAGACGTTCCCACCCATAAAGAACAGCCTACAAAACCTACCGTACAACCCCTAAGCATAAGCCAGACAGATCCAGTAAGCAAAGGCACATAGTCAGGACAAACAAACCAAACCAACCCTGAAAAGCCAAACGGAGAGACAGTAAGCTCAGTGTCAAAGTAAAAAGGACTTGCTGAGCAATAGGAAAAAAAGTAGTCATAAGCACATAGACCCAAGCAGGACAGCATGTTCCCAAGCCACAATGTCTGCCAGGAGGTTACTCAAGCCAAATGGACATAAGCCAGGTGGAAGCACATTGCAACAGATCCCTTTATATTCCTTCAGTGGACAGAGAAGCTTGTGTCACAGAGAGGTACTAGCTGCAAGGCTTTAAAGCCTATACCTGCAAAGATCCTGAGGACTTCTCTGCGGTCAACTTTTGCTTCATTTTGGAATTCATGAGATCAACTGCAAGAGAAAAACACTAAAATTAACACAGCATCCCTCTACTCCTAAAGTTCGGGAAACACTAGTTAGAGACCATTATCATTTCGTATTACCGGCCTTCATGGCTGCCTTGAGCAGTCAGCCACGCACGGCGCGGTCAGCGGGCCCCAGCAGAGCCCCTCCCTGGGGGAGGCTGCACCGAGACACGAGCGGCGGGAACGCACAGCGCGGAGCGGCCTGCCCGCAGCGCTGCCGGGGTGTCCCGGGCTGCGGGGAACGGGGCACTCACCCACACCATCCCCCAGTCCCGATCCCACCAGGAGCCCGCAGGGCTGGCGGGGTGTCCCGGGCGCACACCCGGAGTGGCTGAGGGGGGAACGGGGCACTCACCCACACCACCTTCCAGCCCGGCTCCCGCCAGGAGCCCGCAGGGCTGGGGGTATCCCAGGCGCACACCCGGAGTGGCTGTAAGGAACGGGGCACTCACCCACACCATCCCCCGTCCCTACTCCCGCTCGGAGCTCGCAGTGTTGGCGGGGCTGACCCAGGCGCACACCCGCAATGGCTGTGGGGAACGGGCACTCACCCACACCACTCCCCCCGCCAGGCTCCCGCCAGGCGCTCGCAGGGCCCCTCCCTCCCCGCGCGTCGCCGCGGCCAATGGGGAACAGCGAGGCACGAGCCCGCCAACAACCAAACTCGGCCACGGAACCTCGCGGCCCCGACCCGCCGCCGGTGGCGGAGGCTCAGCCGAGACGGAGAGCGGCCCCTTCCCACCCCTCCCCCGATCCCAAGGCCCCGCTCACCGGCGGCCGCTCCCGCGCGGACCCCGCAGCGCGCCCTCGCACACACACCCACCTTCTTGCGCCCGGCGCGCCGCTATAAGGAGCGCGCCGGAGGTCACGTGACTCGGGGGCACTCTCCGAGCCAATGGCAGGCCGCGCTCCCCCCGCCCCGCGCGCCGCGGCCGGTGCTGAGGGGGCGCGCGCGGCTGCACGCTGTCCGGTGGGGTTTGGCTGCTTCTGGCTTTGTTTTTTTTTTTTTTTTTTTTTTGTTTTGTTTGTTTGTTTTTGTTTTACTGATAAAGGAGTTGTGCCAGATCAGATTTAATCACATCTCTCCTTATTCTCATCGCTCCTGCCTCAACACGGTACAACCTGCAAAACCGGGGAAGGAAATTAGCAGTGTTAAGCCACAATAACTGCTACGCAACACTAATTTTGCGCATGATATAGACTACAGCTCTTATTAATTATGCCTCAGGCGTGCTGTTAAATTTGTTAGAAGCCACTTGACAATTATATTCTTGCAAATATTTGCACATTTATCTTTTATTTATACTAATGGTATCTTCTGCTGATTTGTGAATAAACAGTTTGTCGAGTTAGGGACACATTCCTTACAATCAAGGTCTCACAGAACAGCTATCAACATTTTTCCCAGGCAATATGATGGAGCTAATAGAAATTAGAATAATTACAGAGAGAAGCATTTATTCAGCCTGCCATTCTGTCGGTCTCCTGTTTGGAAATAAATTCTGTGGCACTTATGAGAATGTTTTAAGTAGAATGTCACGGTCCCATGAAAGCAAGAAAGGCAGAACATAAAAAAAGGATGTATTAAGAAATCTTTAAACAAGGATCAGGAAATAAAGCTAATCTCTCTTGTTCAGTGTCTCATTGACCCATTGAAATTTTCATTGTCCACAATATCCTTTGGCAAGTACCTCTAGAGCTCAAATAATCTTTGGTCTAAAGAACACCATCTTTTTTTTTTTCTTCTTTGAACCTGATTCTGATATTGTCACTTGATGTCCCTAGTCCTTGTACTGGGACAACAAACAACCTGCCCTCATCTAGGCCACTGTTACACAGACTGCTCTCCAGTTCTCTCTCCCAGGCATACTTGGCCATGCCAGACATGAAAGCTGTTCCATCTTCCTTCTCTTTTGTGAACTGGATGGCATTTGATTTGCCACTGCTGAACACTGGGCTGGCATTTCAGTGGAAAAATCTGCTGTAACTCTGAGATCTTATTCTTGAGTGATGGCCAGTTCAAAGTTTTTCATTCAACGTGTGAAATTAAGATATATTTTCTTATGCATATTCTTTGATGTTTATCTGCATTGAATTTCATTGCTGTATTTGCCCATCACTCAATGCCATAATGTCCTTCTGCAGTTTTTCAGTCAGGTCCCTTCTTGTTATTTTGAATAATACAGTATCATAAGCAAGCTGTCACCTCAGTAAACTTTGTCTTCTATACAGCAAATGAAAATAACACATGCAGAAACATAATCTAAATTAACATTGTTCTGTTAGAGTACTAAAAAAACACTAATGCTCTTAGGTTAGTTTAATTCTTGTTGATTCTGGACGGAAATTTGAAATTTCCAGGTTTCAAAACACCAGCAGGTATGTGTAACTGGTTATATATGCACACAAATCCTACCAGCATTGAATGTCCTTTCAGAAAAATCTTGATACAGGTAGTGCCTATATGAGCACAACATAAAAACATTCCTATTTTTACATTTTATGTTTTCTTATGCAGAAATTTAAAAATCCAATAAAAACTATACAAAACATTTAAATTAGATGTATGCATCAATTTCTATCATAAATCATACTTAAGAGGCACTGTGTGCATTTTATGGCTGCGATATATAAATTGGATGTCTTATAAATACTATGTTTTCAAATGAAATTTTCTCAGACATTACCTTCTCAAAATTCAGGTTTAATTCATAAAAAAAAAATAAATTCAGCTGGATTTACAGTTCAGAAGTGGAATAACTGCTTTTGGAGATATTGTAATTGGAAGGGTCCAAGGTAATGGGAGATGGTTCTGATGTGACAGTCTTGTTTGTTTTTTCTCTTAATTTGTTCCTTGCTTGAGGCATACAATCTGGAGGTTTATTACAAAGCTGCCACTCCTTCAATTTATCCAGCTGAAGAACGTGTCCTCTTACGAACCACCATGTCCCAGAGTTCAGTCTTTTCAGTTCAGAAAGGTTTGTAAAGAACGCCATCACCATCTCAGAAAGAACACTGAGAGTTTATTAGTAGAAGCTTATTCATAACCTTAATTATGGGAAACCAGTATAATGATATAAAAACCTCACCAAAACAAAACAAAAAAACCTAAAAAAAAAAGCTTCCAGGTTATTTTACTGTAATAATTCCCCTTTTGTAGCCAAAGTTTCAAAGTTTTAATTTGAACAGGGATTAGGACATTTTTACATGCAAAAAATCTGTCAACCCAATGCTAGCAGAATATATTTTTCTTCAGAATGAGTGCAATATAATGCATTTCAGCTTGTTTGTTTCATAAAAAAAAAAAAACCCTCTGTCATGAATACTTATGACTATTTGCACTTCAAGTAAGCCTAAGCAAACACGCCGAGGTTTCCCATAGAACTCAGCCAATTCGTTAGATCATTCACGGCAGCAGAGAATGTGTACTTTCTAGAGCTTTTGTATTCCATTGCTGTTGATAAATGTTATCAGTTTTTACAGCAAATGACAACTTGGAGGACTTCTTGTGCCTGAGAACCTGGGAATAGTTGAGTCTCCAGCAGCTTGGGAGTCATGTATTGCTGACATGCCAGTGTGTGGAAACTTCCTAAGCCTTGCAGAGGGACAGTCTGGACTTGGCCATCTGAATGAAGTGCTGGCAAGGACGAATTTGTACTTGACAGTCACACTGCCTTTTGTCAAGGCCCTTTCTGTTCTCTGCAGATAATGATCCAGCTCTGGGCTGCCTAAGGACGCTTTATTACCACCTGCCCCATTAAGTACAGGTAAACCTCATTGTGATTTTTAAAAATTGTGTGGACTATGTTATTACATACATATCATAAAAGAGCTTCTCTTTGTTCATGTTTACTGTAAAAAACAACTATGTGTGTTTGGGCTGCAGAGGAGCACCCTGGGAGAGGGCCAGGGAATGTGTCACCGCAGTCCTGCCCCGGCCGCAGCCCCGCAAAGGGCTCGGGAAGGAAGCCCCGAGGCCGCCTTTGGAATCCCCGACCCAGTTAAGACCCGTGGCTCTCGGGGTGTCTCGCTGATTTTCCCTTGGCCCTCCTGTCCGATATTTATTCCAGGGATGAAAGGGCTCCCCACAGTCCGCAGGGTGACAGTAGGTGGCAGCGTGGCATCACGCTTCCCCTCCCTCCGCCTCTGGCTTTTCCGTCGTGCTTCGTGTGTTATCGACCAGAAATTCACGGTTTGTCTTCTTTTCCCTGGGTTAATCGGCACGGAAGGCTGCATGCTAGTGAAACTCGTGGGTTATGTACGCGGCACAATCCAGGTATAATTCATAAGGCCCACTGGGTTTTGGTGATGGCCACTGTTAATAATTAGATCTCTCCAGAGAGTACACAAATGTAATGTATTAGAACAAAAGATTGTCCTGTGAACCGTGATCCTGAGTGCCTCAGAGGTGAAAAGTTAAAAGAAAAATCTGCATCTCACCTGGTTATTTTTTCCCTAGTTGAGTACTGTGTGAGCCACTAAGAAAGACATCCTTTAAGATACTGTGAGGTCCTAACCCACAGCTTCAAAAAAAATTTATAAAAGTGCTTTAAGATTTAAAAATTAAACATCTCTATAAAAGCTACAAATTAATAATAAGCTAAAGCTGCTGATGACTGCAAGTATTTAGAATATTATTTACAGACTGAACAAATAAAACAAGTTTTTTTGAATTCTACCCTTATTCTTGCAAGCATCTGCTGATTAAAACACAAAACCTACATTATTTAAAACCAGTGTCTCACGTGCCCAAGAACTTATGTCCCATTTTGTGACCACAGGCCCCTGAAACTAGAAGGTGGGACATAAGGAAGTGCCAAATGAAGCTTAATATTGTAGCAACAGGTGTGCAGTGGTGTGCTGCTTTTGGCAGGGGTAGAGTTAATTTTCTTCTGTCCACTGCTGTCCATTACAAGAAGGAGTAGGCAGTGGTGGACAACCCAAATCATTCTATGATTCTGTGATTCTAACTGGGTCCAGAACACAATATAAGGAATGTTGTACTCATTAAAACACTGACATTTCTCTGCACAAAAGCATTCCCCTTATGCCTTAGAAACTGTTTTCTCTGAATGTAGAAACGAGTGAATCAGTAGCTTCTGAAGTATATGAAAGAGTTTTAATTACCACCTAATTTGTCTTGTTTGAATTTACAAAGAATACGTATTTATTTTTGTCTGATGCATAAATATTTGGCACTGAATTAATCATAGTTCTGTTTTTGAAGCAAGTAGCTTCAGGGCTGATTCTACTTCTAACATACAGTACAGTATGTGTGGAATGTACAGAAGAAAGATAACAGAATCCATCTAATCTCTTCCCAAATATGTCTATAACATACATATCAATTGCTGACAATTTATTAAAATGAAATTATTAATTTTAAGTAATTATTAATTAAGCTGGAAATTAAGAGCAGAGGCATTAGAGTACAATCTTGCCCACATGCTTATGAGTAAATATGTGATTTTGAAAACAGGAATTAGACTCTGAAATTACAGAAATTTTAGGAAAAAGAAACCCAAATCAACAAGGTGTATCTATAAAGTTATCAACGGTTTCTAATTTACAGAAAAAGCACAAGTTACTATGCAAAGGAGTGCTTGGTTTCACTGAAAATAGTGAGGATATGATAACATGGTGACTCGAAAATACCAGGTTTTCAGAGAAGCATAGCCAGCAACCAGATAGTTTAAACTTTCAAAACTTTTGTCAAACAGATATTTTAAACTTTTGCTTCTCAAAATTCCATGACTCACTTTCTCTCCCAAGGAATATATTTTTGAGACAAGTAGAGTACATGACTACCTTCACAGGGGCCATTTCCATGTT